TTTTTTTTTTTTTCAAATCGAATCAAACATGAATATTTACACAGCAATCAATCGTCACCTCCAACTCCCAACCCGCAACTCAATATCTTCATCACGAGGTTAACAAGAAAATTCAATTAAGGCTCAAAGGGGATGACTAGTGATTATTATTCTCGACAAAGAAAAAAAGAAAAAGAGAGTACAAGAAATGCCTCAATCATATTCACGTCACATCAATCTGATCCAATTATTTCAAAGCAGTCTTAAGGCAAATTCTAATTAACAAGATTCAGACCAATATCACACCAGAAACAATAAGGCTCAACCCTCACAAGGTAAATATGTTCCTCAACACAACGAAGCCAATCAATTAAAGATATATTACTCGTGCTCATCATCACATCTTCTCAATTAAACCAACGATTATCAAAAAGCTTTGCAATACACCAATGTCCAGACTCTGACCGGACCACCACATAATCACGTAAAACTCCCCCACACTGAAACCAGACAATGTCCCCATTGTCAAGTCGCGGTGAAGGAGACTTAGACCACAGAACAGACCAACGCAAAAACAGAAACAAAGAAGCTGTACAAAAATAAAAAGAGAAAGGGAAAAAGAGAACATACAAAGCACAGTGACGAGTCACTGTGCATCCGGAGGTGATGGTGGCTGGTGAGGGTGATTGGGACCCGAACCCCAACGGGCGTCCCACTGAGTGAAGCGCTGGTCCCAGCTGTCCATCCGAGCGTCCTGCTGGTCCTGCCGCTCGCGGATTGACTGGAGGCCGCCAGCGAAAGTGTCGAACTGGGTACCCATCTAAGTCCAGTGGGTCTGCTGCCGGGTCTCCCACTGGTCCCATCGAGTGTTCTGCTGTGCCTCCCAGCTGGTCCACTGCGTGGTCTGCCGGCTCTCTAGGGCAGCCCATCTGTTGTCCTGGGTGTCAAAGCGATCGTGGATCGAGCGAATGTCGGCGGTGTACTGAGTCTGAAAGGTGGACCACCATTCCGGTGGCTGCTGCGGGGGCATCTCCGGGTGAGAGCTTGGCGCCGGCGTCCAGTCGGGTGGAGGTGGAAGTAAATGGTCCTCGTCGATATTCATCTGCTCATGTGCGTCCTCCGTAGGTTGCCGAGACGACCCAGCCGGATCGGAATTAGGTTGACCCTGCTGGAGCTTTTTGAAATAGGTCTCGTAGGCAGCACGTTTCGTATACTCCTTAGCTGTTCGCCAGTTCAGAATAAGGTCAGCCTGCTTGAGCTCGTTAAAGTTGATACACCGCATCTCAGACGTGTCTTGAAGCGCCATCTCCCCATGTAGTCTGTATGCTTCTGGAGTGACGTCAAAGTGGTGAGCGAGTGCGGTAACAAAATGTCCGAGCGCCGGTAGTCCACGCTTGGAGAGGGCAATCTCCTGGAAAGAGTTCTGAAGGAAGGTCATGGAACACACTCGCACTCCCGACCGCATCGCCCAGAGGAGAAAAAGCTCACCCTCACTGACTTTGTTCGCTTCCTTCTTGCCGGTGATATTGTAGCAAATGAACCGGTGCACAACGGCAGTGGCCAGGTCCTGGATAAGCCCGTTGGACATACCAGCAGAATCCCACGTCGTATGCGGGGAGAGCTCGGCCCAACTCTTGTGGGGATCAAAATCGGCGGCTTTGCTTCGTGTACCGGCAAAGTTGAACCCGCAAACCGCCTTCATCACGGCATTGTCCACCACGAGTTCTTGTCCCTTTAGCCGACAAGTGAAGAAGTCGTTCCCATCGGCGAGAACGAAAGAACTGTAGAACTCAAGCATAAGGGTCCGGTACGACCTCTCCTCAATCTTAGCGTAGTCGGTTAAATTCAAAACCCTGAGGTACTTCATCACGTCCTCCAGGATACCCAACTTGTTTAAAAGGTCCCAGTCCACCGCCTTCGGTCGCACGACCTCCTTTTGCGAGAGTCGGGCATAAATCTCGCCCTCCTTTCGAGAATAAATTGGGAACGGGGCCCCGTATTGGTCCGAAAGATCATCTCGTGCACCTTCCGGAGGGGCGTCTCGAGAGGAGGATTCGCCCGCTTTGCGCTTCTTAGCCGGGTCTTGGGCGGTGTTCTTCTTGGTGGAGCGAAACGGATTCTTTCCCATTCGAACGGTCTATCGAGCAATATATCGAACACGTGGCGTGCGGTATTTTGAAGTAAAGGGTTTGTGAACAATTGGAAACGGCTCGAACCCGGAGTTGGCCTCCTCACGCCTCAACAATCAACTCACTTCAAGAAGAGTAAGCTATCGGTACCTTTTGGTGCGAGGTGGGGCCGAAAATTGACAAACCACGGGCTAAGGATGAAGAACTAGTGCGAACGAATTTGAACCGTCGGGACACGTGGTCGGATGCCGCCTGATTATGGAGGAGGAGACGCCGGAGAGATTCGCCGGAGAACTCGCCGGAAGGACGACAGCGAAGGTGACGCGCGTGGAGGAAGCGCTAGGGTTCCCAGAGATAACGTGAAAAAGCTCGAAAAGTGCGTTTTGAAATCGCGAAGGTAAAGCTCGTGATGGGGACGTTCACTCTCCGAAAATTGCGAGGGATTGGTATGGGATCGAAGCTGGAGAAGGAGGTCGCCGTGAGAAATCGTTCCCAAATGAAAGAGGTGAAAGTGAGCGTTCAATTAGCAGGCAAGGGTACAAAACGATCCGTCGCGGGTTCCGCGGCCGCGACTTCATCCCGCGGCCGCGAGATATAAGTCCAGAAATGGGGGCTTTAGCGAAAGGTACAGCGTCGCGGCCGCGACGAAGAACTGTCTCGCGGCCGCGACCCAAATCCGCGGTCGCGAGGTTGCTTCACGGCCGCGAGATTTTGCACGCTGAACTTCGAGCACTTGGCCAAAAAAAAATGTCGCCGCGACCGCGGCGAAGAAAGGTCTCGCGGCCGCGACCATGCTCCGCGGTCGCGGGAATCCTCCGAGGCCGCGAAAAACTATCTGCAGAAATTAATGGCGAGGGCAGAAAAATGGTCGCCGCGGCCGCGTTTTTTTTTGGAATAATAAAATACATCAGGTACAAGATTGCTCGATTTAATGCCTCGAGCTCGGCACATTCTTGCTCAGACGTACTCTGGGTCGCCGAGACTGATCGTCTCGACATGGCTTTTTCCGAATTCTCCCTCGAAATACGGCTTCACTCGTTGTCCATTCACCACAAATAACTCACCATTAGCCGGGTTTCGAAGTTGGACAGCTCCAAAAGTCAAAACTTCGTCAACAATGTATGGCCCACTCCACCGGGACTTGAGTTTTCCCGGAAAAAGACGGAGTCGGGAATTAAAGAGAAGAACTTTCATACCGGGTACGAGATTTTTCCGGACAAGAGTAGCATCATGAAGCCGTTTTGTCTTTTCCTTGTAAATCTTGGAGTTCTCGTAGGCCTCATTCCTCCACTCTTCTAGCTCCGAGAGTTGCAATAGCCGCTCCTTTCCGGCTGCATCGAGGTCGAAGTTCATCTTTTTAATTGCCCAGAACGCCTTGTGCTCGATCTCAACCGGAAGGTGGCACGCCTTCCCGTAAATGAGGCGGAATGGACTCATCCCCAAAACTCCCTTGTATGCTGTCCTTTGGGCCCATAGTGCATCATCGAGTCTACTCGATCAATCTTTCCTGGACGAGTTTACCGTCTTCTCAAGAATGGTCTTGATTTGCTTGTTGCTCGTCTCTGCTTGGCCCGAAGTTTGCGGATGGTATGGGGTGGCCACTCTGTGTGAAATCCCGTATTTCTTCATTAGTTTCTCGAAAACCCGGTTGCAAAAGTGTTTGCCTCCATCACTCACAATGGCCCGTGGAAATCCGAACCTGCTCAATATATATCCTTGCAAAAACTTGATAACCACATTAGCATCACATGTCCTTGTGGGGATAGCCTCGACCCACTTGGACACGTAATCTACGGCAAGTAAAATATATTCAAAACCACAAGATTTGGGAAACGGTCCCATAAAATCAATGCCCCAAACATCAAAAATTTCGACTTGTAAATTGTTCACAAGGGGCATTTCATTTCTACGACCAATGTTCCCAATTCGTTGACAACGGTCACAAGATTTGCAAAAAATATAAGCATCTTTAAAAAGGGTTGGCCAGAATAAACCTGATTGGAGGACCTTAAGGGCCGTCTTTCGACCTCCAAAATGTCCCCCACACTGAAGCTCGTGGCAAAAAGCAAGGACATCCGGTTGTTCTTCTTCGGGCACACACCTCCGAAGGATCTCGTCTTTTCCCATCTTGAAAAGGAATGGGTCATCCCAAAAGTAACTCCTACACATCAACACGAAACGTTTTCTCTCTTGGGAAGAGAGGTTAGCCAACAAGACACCATCTGACAAGTAATTGACGATATCAGCATACCAAGGAACATTAGTCACTTCACTCGCATGCTCATATGGAAAGTCATCATTGATACCAACATGCTCATGCAATGCAAGTGAAGGTTCAGAAGGAACAATACGAGACAAATGATCAGCAACAACATTCTCACATCCCTTCCTATCCCTAATCTCTACATCAAACTCTTGCAAAAGAAGAATCCACCGAATAAGCCTAGGTTTCGATTGAGTTTTACTCAAAAGGTACCTAAGGGCTGCATGGTCGGAATGCACAATTACTTTAGATCCTAAGATATAAGACCTAAATTTTTCAAGAGAAAACACAACAGCTAAAAGTTCTTTCTCAGTGGTAGTATAATTCAATTGGGCACCATTGAGAGTCAAACTAGCATAATAAATCACACGAAGCAATTTATCAACTCGTTGACCCAAAACGGCCCCCACAGCAAGATTCGATGCATCACACATAATCTCAAATGGTAAAGACCAATCAGGTGCAATCACAATAGGAGCAGTCACAAGCTTATCTTTCAATTTAGCAAAAGCCTCTACACATGCATCATCAAATACGAAAGGCACATCATTAGCAAGCAAGTGACACAAAGGCTGGCTGATTTTCGAAAAGTCTTTAATAAATCTCCTATAGAAGCCAGCATGACCCAAAAAACTTCGAACTCCTTTTACATTAACAGGCGGGGGAAGATTCTCAATCACATCAATCTTTGCCTTATCAACTTCAATCCCCCGACTAGACACTACATGACCTAGAACGACACCACTCTGAACCATAAAATGACTCTTCTCCCAACGCAAAGTCAAATTACATTCAATACATCTCTCAAGGACACGAGATAAATTATGGAGACAATTAGAAAATGAAGTGCCAAATATAGAGAAGTCATCCATAAATACCTGTAAGCAATCCTCGAGCATGTCGGAGAAGATGGAGAACATGCACCTCTGAAAAGTCCCGGGTGCGTTGCAAAGGCCGAACGGCATGCGTCTGAAAGCAAAGGTGCCGAATGGGCACGTGAAAGTCATCTTGGGCTGATCCTCCGGGGCGATGGCCACTTGATAGTAGCCCGATAGTCCGTCAAGGAAGCAATAGAACTGATGGCCTGAGAGACGGTCCAGGATTTGATCAATGAAGGGCAATGGGAAGTGGTCCTTCTTCGTCACGGCATTGAGTCGCCGGTAGTCTATACACATTCGCCACCGGTAGTGATACGGGTGGGGACCATCTCCTTTTTCTCGTTCTCGATCACGGTTATCCCTCCTTTCTTCGGCACCACGTGAATGGGACTGACCCACTCGCTATCCGCCACCGGGTATATAAGCCCCTCGGAATAGAGCTTCAATACCTCCTTCTTCACGACCTCCATCATGTTCGGGTTGAGTCGACGTTGGCTATCGCGGAACGGCTTGGCCCCTTCTTCTAAGATTATCCGGTGCATGCATGTGGCCGGACTAATGCCCTTGATATCTCCGAGACTCCACCCGATGGCCTTTTGATTCCTCTTAAGCACGTCAAGAAGCTCTCGTTCCTCGTCTCGGTTTAGCTCGGCGAAGATGATCGCCGGTTTTTTCTTCTCATCATCAAGGAAAACGTACTTGGGGTGTCGGGGGAGCTCCTTAAGCTCTAGTGGAGATGGGATTGTTGCACGGGATTCCTCGACTTCATAGAGCTCAACCGTTGGCCCTTCGTCATCTTCCAAATCGGGCATCAACCTTTCTTCAAACTCCCGTACCGTCATCTCCTCAACGAACGGGTTCTTCAAACTCCCGAACCGTCATCTCCTCAACGAACGGGTCCATCACATCGATAAAGGCGCACTCCTCCACAAAGTTCACGGAGGGTGCGGAAGTGGCCTCTCGAACAGAAATAGATACGGACTCGCCTAAGACTGTCATGTTCAACGTACCGTGCTTCACATCTATGAGGGTGTTGGTGGTGGCCATGAATGGTTTGCCTAGAAGGATGGTATGGTCCTTCCCGTTCTCCTGCACGTCCCCCACATCTAGGACCACGAAGTCTACCGGGACGATAAGCTTTCCCACACGAACAAGAATATCCTCTATGATTCCCTTGGGGTATCTGATTGATCGGTCGGCAAGCTGTAGACACATCCGAGTTGGCCTCAAATCTCCGAGGCCGAGCCGCTGGTAGATGGAGAATGGCATGAGATTGATCCCCGCTCCGAGGTCTAGCATCCCCGAAGCCTCTTTCCCATTCCCGAGGGCAATTTTGATGACGAAACCCCCGGGATCACGTTCCTTCTTCGGCAAGTCGTGCTGCATTGCGCTTGCCGCCTCATAGACCACTACCTTTTCTCCGTCCTCGAACCTCCTCTTCTTAGTGACCAAGTCCTTGAAGAACTTGACGTAGGATGGCATGTTCTTTATCACATCAAGCAGCGGCAAATTCACATTGACCTTTGAGAGCATGGTGTAAAGGTCTCGAAATTGCTTCTCCTGCTTCTCATCCCGAAGCCGGCTCGGAAATGGTATGCGTGGCTTATATGGATTTGGGGATTTGTGCAACAGTGGGCCATCTGCCGGTTTCTCCGAATCAGCTTCCTTGGAATTTTCGATATTCTCTTCCGCCTCCTTAGTCAGTTTAAGCTCCTCGAACTGATCCGACGGACCTGGCATCTCTACCCGGTTATCGACCACTTTCCCGCTTCTCAACACTGTGATTGCCTGGGCCTCCTTAGGTTGGCTAGGCAACTTTCCCTTGTCTGCTTCAGACTCGATATTTCCCACCCGAGTAGCCAGCTGGCCCACTTGGGTCTCCAAGCGTTTGATCGATGAGTCCTGGTTGGTGATGAACTGAAGGATTTTATCTAGCTTGTCGTCCTGACTAGACGAACTCGAACCGGACCCTTGGACTTGCTGTTGTGGTTGCTGTTGTTGTTGGTAGCTCGGACGGGGGATGAAGTTGGGACGGTTTTGCTGTTGCATGAAGTTTGGGCGGGGTTGCTGTTGGTTGACGTTTGGACGAGGTGGCTGGAGAGTATTGTTGTTGTTGGACCACGAGAGATTTGGGTGATTTCTCCACCCGGGATTGTATGTGTTGGAATAGGGGTCATTGGGTTGCCGGTTTTGGTAACCTTGGAGAGCGTTGACGTCCGTATATTGTTCTCCTACCTCCTGGTCAAACGCCGATGGGCATACCTCGGATCTATGCCCCTGAACTCCACATGCTCCACATGTGTCTACTGTCATGGTATGCATGGACTGGCCTCCTCGTGCATTCATTAGCCGCATTTGCTCGGTGAGTTCGGCTATTTGCTGGGCCATCATATCTTGAGCAGAAGATACCTCGTTGACCACCATCCTTTTCCCTCGATTGCTTTTTTGAGACGAATTAGCACTCATCGTCTCAAAGATCTCATACATCTCTNCTGCAGCGTTGTCAACCATGTATTGCAAATTCTGGTTGAGGGAGTCGTAGAAGCAATTCATTAGTAGTCCCGGTGAAAGATTGTGGTGGGGACACTGTCGCTGGAGATCCTTGAATCGCTCCCAAGCCTCGTGAAGAGGCTCATTCGGTAGTTGGGCAAACGAGACGATTTGTGACCGGAGCTCCTGAGTCTTCTGATGGGAGTAGTACTTCCCAATAAACTTCGTGTAGACCTCGGTCCATGTGGTCAGAGATGCCGGTGCAAGTGTCATGAACCAGGCCTTGGCCCGGTCTTTCAATGTCTCGGGGAAGCACCTCATCTTCAACTGATCCTCATTCAGCCCGTTCAGTGGGAAGGTGTTGAGGGCATTGTAGAATTCCCGGATGAAGTTAAGCGGGTCTTCGCTTGGGAGCCCATGGAATGCCGGCAGCTGGTTATAGTGAATCATTTTTAGCTCATAATTTCGTGCGGGTTCTGGCAAACAGATACACGAAGTGACTGGCCCGATAACCGGCTGGGCCAAGGTTCGGAGGGTGTTTCGAGGCGGTTGTTGCTGTTGCTCATCCATGTTGACGTTACTGCCCTCTGACGATTTCGGGGAGTGCTCGTCTCGTTCGTTAGATTCGAGAGTAAGCTCTTCCAGCAGCTCCCTCAGGCTCTCGTTCACTGATTTGTTGATCGGAGATAGCAATTTGCGTCCACTCCTGGTACGCATACACTAAGACCAACAAGGGTTACGAGCACCAATGATAAGAAAAGAAAATAAAAATAAACAAGAACTAACACCTAACAAATAAAAAGAAATCAAGAGAAACACGGAAACAAGAAAAATCACAAGAAATAAGAGAAACACTCAAAACAAAATGAATAGGCGCACAAAATAAGTCCTAAACCTTCCCCGGCAACGGCGCCATTTTGTTGTAGTTCTTTTTACCAGAGTTAAATCAAAAGATTCGAACACCGGGTCGTGTCTCAAGGAAGGTTAGCCGGATTATTTTGTACGATTATTCAAGCACAGAAATGGAAAATAAAAGTAGTGAAAATCCTAAACATTCTAAATCAAGTTTGGAGATTTGATTATCGTCTACTAATTAGAAAAGCAAGTGATTGAACAGGGCAAGCAACTAGGAATCACAAATTTAATATATAAAGAAGGAGCTAGGGTATCGGGGTCGATCAATTCCGGTTCTCATTACACTTAACGAGCAATCAAGAGCTCGGTTGAATGCTTCGCTAAACTACTCATCTAGAGGTCTATCCTCAATAACTCTTCGTAACAAGAGGATAGACATTAATAAGCAATTCTTGAAGCAATCAACACATAAGCAATACTATTACGAACAAGCTTATTCCTAACGAGCCTAGATCGAACGATTTCTCCCTTTTCAGTTTTAAAATCGATTAGATAGATTAAGATGGTGATCAATCATCAAAACCCTAAATTAAGCACAACTCGAGAGGATTGAGCAATTATCATGCATATAAATAAAATCAAACCGGAACGATCTTCCCTTAACCCTAGCTAAAGGATTTAGCTACTCATAATGCATTCAACTCCAACACATATAATAATCAAAGCCATTCAATCAATAAGAAAACGAAATGAAAGCTTACGATTGATGAATCCAATGTTGAATACACGAATAACCAAATCCACAAGCGTAATCTTGGTGTTTTCACAATCCAAGATCAAATCCTATGAAGAACTAAGAGAAAAACTGTTTTGGAGTGAATAATAATGAGAAAGAGTCTAAACCTAGGTGAAAAAGTGTCTGAAAAACTGAACAAAAACGTAGCTTAAAAATTCTGCTGTCGCGACCTCCGCGGCCGCGACTTAGACCTCCGCGGCCGCGGCGAACAACATCTCGCGGCCGCGACTTCCTCCGCGGCCGCGACCTCAGCGAGCCAGAAACTGGAATTTACGTGCATCTCGCGGCCGCGACTTCCTCTTCTCCGCGGCCGCGGCGAACAATTTCTGAATGTTGGTTTTTGGATTCGTTTTCTCTCATCCGGACTCGGAATTTGACCCCGTCTTCTCCAACACGACCCCAACTCATCCATCTAGACAGTGGACCTCGCATATCCATGCACCGAGCCACCAAACCTGCACATCACCACTGACAAGAAGTACGGAAAACGGGAAAAACGAACAAAAAGACCAAAATCGACTAAAACAAAGGATATGCGCGAGACGACTCGAAACGGACCAAAAACCAAAGAAAAATACCTAAGTAGGGGAAAAACAAGCATGAAATAAACAAAGAAAACGTGACAAACGTGGAACGAACAAGGATAATAAGGTTGAGTTAAATTTGAGTTTTATGATTATATGATTGGATTAATAGTTAAATAAAGTTGATATGACGATATTTTATTAGTATTATTTAATATATGAATAAAATTGAGGATAATGAGGTTGAGTTAAATTTGAGTTTTAATTAATTTTTTTTTTTTTTTGTATTTATATCAAAAAAAGGAAAAAAAGTTTTTTACCCTTCGAACTATCACGATTTTTGCGTGTTGTCATATAATTTATTTTTTTTAACAAACCATCACCTGAACAATGTGTGTTTGTAAAATTGCCCCTATACTAGGTTTAAGCCCGGATTTGCCTCATTGAAACTTCTTTTTCGAGGTATTTTCAGAATTTTATATATTTAAAAAATAAAAAAAGAAACATGAAGAAAACCAAATGCGTTACCTCTCTATCTGCTGTTGGGGCACGCGAACAAAGTCCAGTAAGAGGAGGCCCTCAAAAAGATGTCCGCACTTACTGCAAGAGAAGTTGATATGCCTTCAATTTCAGGGAGGACATGCACCACATAATGGAGCATGTTGGCAGGAGGTCAGGTGCACGCGGCGACGTTGCCGGAGATGACCCGAAAGCCCGACGGGCCAAACGTCGAACTATGATGGTGTATGCGACTGTACCGTTCTCCTTGGTTCGGGTTGCCCGGAGTTGTGGTTGCAACCTGCTTCTTATTTGGGCTGAGGGTGTCCTCTCTCTCGAGTCCGTCGGTAGTGGGCCTGAAGAGGTGTGTAGACGTGCTGGAAGCCAAATGTGTGATAGCTTTCATGAACCATACGAAGTAATTGAAAGACGATGTATACAAGTTGGAGGCCCGGGTAATGAAAGCATTCGTGCTGCATGATGATCTTGGGAAGTTCGCTCGGTCGACCATCTTGAAAAAGTTGAGGCATGGGGACATAAGGGTGTTGTTGACCAACGAGCTTTCGGCCAGGGGATTGGATATTCAGAATGCGATCTTAGATGTGAGGGTGTTGTTGACCTATCAACCCGATTCATTACGCGCATCGGGCGGGACGAATGAGCCGTCTCGGAAGGAAGGGTACTATGGTCACTATCTGTGAGGAACCAAAAATGTTTGTCGTGAGGAAGATGCAAAGCAGCTTCGGGTTTTATCTAGCCATGCCAGTTTGTGGAGGAGAATCTTATTCTTGATGAGGAAATCTTAGTCAATGACGGCAAATTTCAGGCGGCGGCGCTCTGAATTTTCTTAATTTTTTTTTCTTTAAATGAAAAAATGTAAAAGAAAAAAACAAAGGCCAGTAAGAATAGGGGTTAATTTGTTATATTTGAAAAGCCTTTAAATTATGATTTGGTCCTTTGGGTACTTTTGCAATATTTTAAAAATTTGCAATTCTCAAATACCATTGTTAATCAGCTTTTCACTACAAACCACTTTAAATACGGTTTTAGAGGGCAAAGTGAAAAAAAATGTGTAGTTTACATGGTTGTTTGCCAGAAAAAAAAAAAAATGTTTATATGGTAAAGCGCCAAAATCGTGATAGTTCAATTATTTGTGTGGAAGCTTGGGCCACGCCAGACGTGACTTGAGTCACGTCGTGAAGGTACATGTGCTAGAGGGAGGTGGCTAGGCAGATGTCACACCGCGAAGAAAAAGGACCTGAAGGTCGTGACTTGTGTCACGGCGTGCGACCTGTGCTGCTCGCGGATAGGTATAATAGCTCGATCCTGACTAGTGTCACATCGTGAAGGTGGTAGGCTCGTTGGCCATGGCGGCACGACAGAAATTAACAGCCGGTAGCGGTCGACTGCAGTTCGGGGCAGTCGGCCGCGACTCAGCAACGACGCTGGAGGTTGGACGACAGTTTGCGACTGACCGGCTGAGGTGGTCTGGGGCGGATGAGCGGCCGGTTGCGGCGGTCCAGGGAGGCTGAGCGCGGTCGAGTGACGGTCTAGAGCGGATGAGCGACTGGTTACGACGGTCTAGGGCGACTGAGCGCGGCCGAGCGACGGTCTAGGGCAGATGAGCGGTCGGCTGCGGCTGAGAAGTTGATGGCGGACGGCCCGACTGAGATTGATGGCGCAAGTCTGGTGGAATGAAAGAGGAAGAAGATGACAGTGATAATGCAAAATGACCATCATGCCCTCAGTTTACTAACTCATTTGGGCTTTGCTTTTAGGCCTATATTAATTGTTATTTTGGACTTGATATAATGCATGTCATCCACACTGTTTCTTGCCCTCTTTGTTTGGGTCGAATGAAGTTGAATTTCCGGTAATCAGCCAAAGCTCTGAACCACACACCTCCAACAATTAGATGACAAGATTATGTGCAAAACAACATGACATAGAACTTGTTTAATCAAACATGATTCTCATTCAACAAAGATAAAGTATAAATATCATCCAAAGCCAAACTTTCATTATATAACATCAACAGTCCCGTGGCGAAGTTGATGGCGGACAGGCAGACAGAAATTGATGGCACGGGCCTGGTGGAATGAGGGAGGAATAAGTTGACATTGATAATGCGAAATGACCATCATGCCCTCAGTTTACTTACTCATTTGAGCTTTGCTTTTGAACCTATATTAATTGTTATTTTGGACCAGATCTAATGCATGTCATCCACACCGTTTCTTGTCCTTATTTGTNTATAAAAAAACTAAAATAAAATAAAACACACAGAAAACGATTAGACAGTCATAAATTCCTAAAACGATACCTAAAAATGTAATAAAATACTAGAAAATTAATAGCAAAAATAGTAACAAAAGCAGAACATGTAGTTGATGCCAAAGTCAATTGCTTTGTTTGACTGGATCTAGCGTGCCATAATATGGATAATATAATTTCAAGTAGGGAGACACTGCAGAAATATTGTGCACTTAATAAATCAAAAAAATCATATTTTACGTAATTATTGCAACCTGCAACCCTCCCTACCTAATCAAGTTTTGTTTTACATGCAATTTAATATCCATAACCAACCTCGATATCAGTAAAGTATCATATGTAAGAAAATGTGAAGGAATTTAAAAATCACCGTATAATTTTAGTTGCAAGTTGCCTAGTGGAGGAGTGGGTTCATGCCACTTTTCTTCAAGTGTATAATTCATTAATTGCTCTGAAATTTGTTCACAGAAAACAATCTGTAGTGACTGTTATCAAAGACTCAAAAGTCCGAAAGAAATTAGAGGGAAATTACTGTGTTTTCGGTTTTCCACCACAACATTCTGGGATTTTGCTTATATCTGCAAAGGTATGTAAAAAGTAAACTCACTATTTTCCATAATTTTACCGGTTAATTAATTAATTATCTTCTTCATCATCTTTGATTTCTGTTCTAAAATACTNNAAGCAATGCCTTGTAAAGGAACTGCTGAGGCCTTCACCGGCCTACAACACCAATTATCTCAACTCTCCAAAGCCCACACAGACCATTCTATCTACAAAATACACAACCATCTGCACAGCGTCAACGACAAGGCTTACGAGCCCAAAATCATCGCAATCGGGCCTTACCATCACGGAAAAGACAGCTTGCAAATGATGGAAGAACACAAATTGAGGTACTTAGAACTTCTTCTCCGCCGTAAAAAACAAAACGTCGAGCGTTACATCTCAGCCGTCGCGAAATTAGAAAAACGAGCTCGAAACTGTTACGCACAAGACATCGGCCTCACCCAAACCGATTTCATCAAGATGCTTGTTCTCGACGGCTGTTTCATTATCGAACTAATTCGAAAATGCAATCGAAAGGATTCGTCCTGCAAAAACGACCCAATTTTCAAAATGGATTGGATTATGAACAGCCTATTGAGAGATCTCATCTTATTCGAAAACCAAATACCTTTCTTCGTCTTGTGCGAGTTGTTCGACCTAATCGAGCACCCAAACCAGCACGACCGATTGATTTACCTTATATTGTTCTTCTGCCAAAGTCTTTACCCGGGAGCTGTTCATACAGATCCATCGAGCCGAAAATCTGAAGAAATCAAGCATTTGCTCGATTTGATTCACGCCAACTGGCGCCCCTCTCTGGATGAGAACGCTGTTAGCGTTGATGTTGAAATCCAACCAGATATCGTTCGCACGAAGAGAAATTTGCGATTCATTCACTCGGCAAGCGAGCTCTCGGATGCTAATGTGCAGTTTGAGGTGCAAATTTCTAATAGCTTATTCGATTTGGACTTCAAAAATGGTGTCATGTTTATGCCGACTTTGACTGTCGAGGATAGAACCGAATGCTTTTTCAGGAACCTTATTGCATACGAGCAGTATTTTCCTGATGAACGGCTAAATTTCGTGACGGATTATGTGAGGCTATTGGATTGCCTGATTAATTCGACGAAAGACGTTGAGATTTTATCGGAATGTGGGATTATTGATAATTGGTTGGGGGATAATCAAGTGGTTGCAGATATTTTCAACAAACTCACGGATTCGATTGTTGGGCCTGGCAAACATTTTATGTATTCGGGGGTTGTTCATCGTGTTAATCAACATTACGAGAGGCCTTGGAATCGAGCGGTGGCTGTGTTGAGGCAAGATTACTTCAGTAATCCTTGGGCGATTATTGGTTTTTTAGCTGCTCTTCTTTTGTTTTTGCTCACGATAGTTCAAACTGTGCTTGCTGTGATACAGACGGTTTAGGCGCTTATGTGATAGGCAATACAGATTGATGGCTTCGTGGGTTTTCATTTTATGTGATATTTCAACTTCTGTGGTNGTTGAAAATAATTTGGTTGGTTTATTACCATATGGGTGCTTCATCATTCTCTAGTTCACTTTACAATGTGTTAATCATATATGGAACAATTTCAGCTCTTTCAGATGAATATTGCATTATTGCAGAATTTGCTTCAATATTGTGCATGAAGGAAGAATCAATTTTCCGTACAATTCTTCACTTTAAAAGAACAATGGGAAAAGAACAAGAAAATCTCTCGTCACAAATCTATCCGTTCGACTGTTTCGAAAGTAGTTATATGCAACATACATTACAAGTCAGCAGGCGGGTTTAAAAAGCTTCTTGGATACAAAAATTTTCAAAAAAAAATAAAAATAAAAATAACCAAAAATTTAAACTCAACTACTTTTTTTAATTCAACTTCACATTATCAATATAATTAAAATAATATCAATTAATTATTCTTACACACTACATCGACTTTAATTTACTATTCATCACCTCAATAATTTTAACTAATCATCATTTCAAATCATCTCTCTCCTACGTTTACATCAAATCAACTTTAATTATTTTACTCTAAATAATATTTTAATATACCCATTATCAACTAATCATATCATTTTTTTTTCAAAATTAACCAATTAAAACAAAAAAAATTTATATCCAAACATTATTTTATACACTATTCAACAACGATTATGATTGCATCTCCATAACACAGACAAATTCAACAGTACTGCAGAAACAAAGGGGAACAGTGCACTTGAAAGTTGTATTTTTCCAATACTAAACGAGAAAGAACCATAAAGCAAGATATCTGTACAATAAAGAGCAAGCATATGCATATGATATGCCAAGACTAGCAACAATATATAAGAGACTTGGCTACAGAACATAACCCATCTTTCGTGGAATATCCATTCTCCTACACATAGATTAATTAATATTCGAAAAGTTCAGCAACGTACGGGCCTCTCATAAGTAGGAGGCAGAGAGGGGCAATTCTCATTCATATTAGTGTAGGGCTCCAGAGTGTTATAATACGGCAATTCCATTTTATACTCGCCCAAAATCTGGCAGAATGGGAGCTTGTCTTCACCATTGTTACACCAATATGGTAAACGAGTCACATTATTCTCAAATACTTTCAGCATGTAGGCATCCTTGATCTGAATTCATTAGATAAAGATAACGATTTATATGAAATAGATAAATAAGCATAATATACGTCATAAAAAGTAAACAAGATCAAAACAATTCATCTGGAAATGATAAAGCGTCATAAGGGGCTCACCGTGAACTCAGTTACTTGAATGGAATTGGAGATTGGACCAAATACACCAGCAGCTTTATACATTGCGAGAATAAAGGCAACGCATGTCGTTGATTTACCATCACTGTAGACCCATTCGTCTTGCTCAGGGATAGTAAGTAATTGGTCAAAAGTTATGCCTCGACTTTCGGTCTCAGCTAGAATACCATGCAAGTCCAATCCCTGCAAGAAGTTAAACGAGATGTGAAAATCGAGCAACCTGTGCTTTTCAAGTGCATATCTATAATCTATAGTCACTCAATGTTCGAACAAGTTTGGCAACATACTTATAACATTACATACAAGAAATAAAGACAGCAAATTTTTGGATTTTCCAAACTCAAATCTTATAACCACCCCACAGTGATCACTTTTCTGAATTCTTTTTACACACAATTTTTATAGCTAGTGATAGAGGATAATTAAAAATTACCGAAAGAATTCGTGTAATTATGAAAAAATCCAGTTCAAATAGTTGAATAATCACTGAGAGAGTGTTACACACACACACACACACACACCTTAATGTTTTAATAATTTACCTACAAGTATTCCTCTTTTCCTGCACTTTGGAGAAAAGAACATAACGTGAAGGAGTATTTTTTGAGATTTTGAAATAGAACCGGGTTGTTTTCGTAATTAATCTAGACTTCACGTGTAGAGTTTGTGATAAACCCAAAAGCAATCACGTGATCCACTCAAAATGCAGACCAGATCCACCAGTAATCAGCATTGCAAGTGACAAAAACTTGAAAAACGGTCAACACCAAGAAAACATGTCACCTCAGTCCCAAGGCGCATATTAAGTGCTTCATTCCACATGTTCGCAGCATATGCTGGCTGCATTCTTGTCCACATAGACATGACAGAAACAACCTGCACTACAAAATGTAGTGGTCAGTAAAAAAATTGATACACTTCAGATTCTTATCCTACTTCAGAATTCAAATGATACTATGCCTTTTCATGCTTAATATCATACACAAATAGGAACACCATCTGTATGTAAGAGAGACATGTTCACTGCAGAGCAAAGGTAATCAGCAAAGCTCAAGGTTTAGGGAAAGAGCACATAAGAAATCATTTACATATACAACATTAAGATATCACAAGATTGATAGGTGAGGATAGTGTGCATAAAAAAATAAAAAATAAAAAAAAAATAAAAAAAAAAATCGAAAGAGGATACAGTATACCAAGTGAGCATCAAGAGGCGGGGGGTAATTGTCCGCTACAGTGTCGATCCAACTAAAGATCATGTTGTGATAACCATATGGCTTCCCAGCCATCTGCCGAGCATAATCCCAGGCAGCAGTATTGTTAAAACGAGCACGTACATCTGGATGTAAGGGCAGTAAAGCTATTTGAGGATTAGAATCGTCTTTTAGTGCCAGTTCCCACCATTCATCCCAAGGAACTATAGCAATAATCTCTTCACCCTAAGAAAGCACCAGGAGAAATGTTTACATCGGCATGCTGACAATGATGTTACATTTGTGAATAAGGAACTTATAAATTTCATAGTTAGAGGCCCCAACTCAGATCTTTTCAAGAGCGAAATTTAACATGGTATATTTCAGCAAGTGCTGAGGTCTATAAAAAATGCAAAAGTATTCGGAAATGCTCAATCAGAGAACTTGGCCTATAAAACTTCAAATAGTTTCATAGCACCTGCTTAAGCTGAGAAACACCACGAATTAAATAATACATCTAGTCTTGCCCTCTCAGTTAAGGACTATTATAGGACCACTTATACACTGAAAAAATTCGTCCTCGCATATAAGGATGCAGTTGACATATGCATATATTTTCATGTTTTTCTACATCAAATATATCAAACTTTTATAGAAAGAGTCCGTGATAATTCATCAAACATTCTGAAAGTAATACGAGAGGTTCAAATGCTGGTGGACTAAATATAAAAGATATATTTAAGGAGCAATCATATTTAATTCCTTCAAGGAATCATATTTAACTCTGATGTTATGATGAAAATCTTTTTGCTCAGATCCTCTTGAAGCTGCTAACAAAATATTAGTATACAAACGGAAAGACATGGCTGATAACTATGTGTGGAGCTTAACCTCTAAAGGCATATGGGTCTTGAATGAAATACCGTAAGATATAATCTATACCAAATACCTTTTCATTTTCATGTCCAGATTCACCAATCCACAGATCACCCAATTCATCCTTCAGACAAACAGCCGTATGCCCGGCAAATGCACCCGTGACCCACTTCTCAAGTGTCTCGAATCCACCCCAGCGCCCGCGGATCTTTGAAACAGCTAAGAAATCACCAGAGTGCACATCTTCAGGATTGATTGTAGCACGCCATGGCTGACTACGTTTTTCGAATTTTGCACCCATGTGTTTCTCCAGAAAGGCCAGATTCGCGCTTTGACCCCAAACAGTGTTGGAGAACAAAGGCAAGACATCAACCAAGGAAAGAAATGTCCCCAGCATGCCCGAAGGCATAAGGAATACGGATATCCCGTGCTGTTTTACCTGCTCATGGTGTTCCGAAGATGTCAACACTTACTTGCCAAAAGCCATAGTTGATTATTAATTGAGTTATTAGAAACCTTGTGCTTACGTATTCTATTTCAGCAGGCTCCTCCCACGATTCGATATTCAACGTATGATCTCGAGACGAGAAATAATAGTCCCAGGTCACCCTATAAGGAGTGGCAAATACATACAAATCCATGCATGTCCAGCTGTGAGCGGCGGCAGTCTGAAAGAAAATAGGTAGCGGAATTTTAAAGTCAGCTACATGACCAATCACAGGCCACCATAGAAAAGGCATTCGGAGCACTTTTCCTCGAGAATACAAAGTCTGATAATAATTTATCACAAAAAACTATCGCTAGCAGAAGTCAAGACTTAATCGACTAAACCACTGTATTTGACAAAAACAGCTAATCCAATATCTGCAACATCGTACAAGAACATTTCAAAATGGATTGGATACCTATAGTTCGTTGTCTTTTCTAACAATCTACAACACTGTGCCAATAATTTACATATATGTATTTATATAGGTCCTGGTCCTCCCATGTCCTGTTATAGCAATATCAAGGTCAAATGAAGAGGTATCTGCTCTATTTCCACAAATAACAGTTTTTTAATCTGGAAAATCGTCAAAATAAACAGTGAACCTCAAAAGTACTACTATACTTTTCAGAAAGGTTATTCCTCAAAAACTCACTACACAAATAAGCACCAGCACAGCATATTTTGATGATAAAAAAATGTCCAACAGATGGCATATGTTTTTTCTATTGTGCATCAGTCCACTTTCTACCTTTTTTTTGTCATCTTTCAGTATGAAAACCATTACTAATGCAATTTGCTTGTCATCAAACAGGGAAACACACACGGAGAGAGAAAGAGATAGCGAGAATTGAGGTCACAAACCGAAATATGAATGACGCCACCCCCGATTCCCTTATCACCGGCACCACTGAACTTGATCTTGGCCTCGTTATCATAAAAGCACGCGCCTTTCCACTTGATAGTCCCATTATTCGGCGCCAAGGAACCCACATACTGCGGCAGCAAATCAACCGCGCTGTGAATGCTGTTGAGCACGGGCCACGATATCTGACGCGGCAGCACCGGTAGCACGTCGTTCACTCGGAATGGCACTTTCAACGCATCCCCAAATTCAAACCCTAACCCGAACCCGAGAAAAAATACGAGCCTCAGCAACCACGGCTCTCTCCATGCGGATGACATTTTTTGTGATAAAAGGATTTAACCAGGGATCTCAAAATATTACACCTTGACTTTCATCAACAATCAAATTCAGGAAAGGTTTGATGCGACAATAATTAGGGGTAGAGAGACTTCTCTCCTGGTCCAGCTTGGCTACTGGAATAGGGATTTTGATCGCTTTATTTTGCAATTTGATTGGAAATAATAATCCGGAGGAAGATAGAGGTTGATTTTAACATAGATTAAAAATTAATGGTCAAATGGGAATTACAGTATCTTCGTCAAATGCGATTTACTATATCTTTTTATAATGTTACAGCCTCTCCAGTCTTACACTTTTTTTTTTTTAGGTACATCTCTCCGGTCTTAGAGCATCTCCAATGCTCAATGTTGTAGTATCAAAATACATTCCAAATCAACACATTTATTAATATTACACCTTGACTTTCATCAACAATCAAATTCAGGAAAGGTTTGATTCGACAATAATTAGGGGTAGAGAGACTTCTCTCCTGGTCCAGCTTGGCTACTGGAATAGGGATTTTGATCGCTTTATTTTGCAATTTGATTGGAAATAGTAATCCGGAGGAAGATAGAGGTTGATTTTAACATAGATTGAAAATTAATGGTCAAATGGGAATTACAGTATCTTCGTCAAATGCGATTTACCATATCTTTTTATAATGTTACAGCCTCTCCAGTCTTACACTTTTTTTTTTTTAGGTACATCTCTCCGGTCTTAGAGCATCTCCAATGCTCAATGTTGTAGTATCAAAATACATTCCAAATCAACACATTTATTAATATTACAATTTTTCATCCTCCAATATACAATGTGATCACAAATATTGTGATGATGTGGACATAATTATTGTCTACAATGTAGAGAAGAATGTGGTTCATCCACATTCTCCTTCACACTCTAGTTGGCCAATGAAGAAAAGAGAGAGAATTACTATTACCATTTTTAAGATATTTAATTATTTGATTAATTTATTTAATTCATATTAAAATTTTAATATTTAGTAAGTAAATAATATTGTAATTTGACTACATTGTGCATTGAAGATGATTTTTTAATTTAATAGTTGTGAACTTAACATTTGTCCTACATGGTTCACAATCTACTTAATTTTTTGACATTTGTCAATATTTATCCTACTACAATATTAAAGCATTGGAGATGCTCTTACTCTANTTTCTTTATCGATCAGAACACACTCAAATCAAATGGGTTCATCATCACTGAATTCATCCATGTGGGCTCGAAGCTTGGACAAATCGACTATGCCCATCATTGTTCGACGAATTTCCCAACCGACATGTTTTCCGGTGGAAAGGCGAGTCATAACTCCCGTCACAAAGGTCGATGCCGCCCACAAAACTCACAATCCTTCTCTTATCCGATTGCCCGCTCGGCAAATCACTGACGACCACAACAATTCTCTGATGGTAACATGGTCGAAATCTGAAAGTGTACACGGACCAGGCCGTGATGTATATCAGGTGCTTAGCATTTGTGATGGCATAAAAAACGTCTTCCCAGCATCTGTGCGACTCATAGTACGTTCCCCCGAGGGATGAAGTTATCTGGAATGTGAGCGTCCTGGTATAAGGAGACACGATTATTTGTTCTCTGGGAGTAGAAAGTGTACAATACACCAGGGTATCTGGCACTCTTGATCCCGCGGTCCCAGTTGCGGTCATGAGAGACGTCCAATAACTGAAGCTTCACGTGGATCTTGGATTCTCTCTTATCGGGTTTTTGTTCTCGTCAAGTATCTCAACCCACCGGTCAATTTCTTCGGCGTCCACGAGCTCGTCGACAGGCACACAGGCCCTCTCGATTAGAGTGGCACCAATCGGGTTGTCATCCTTGACCGTGAATATGACGTTGGATGCATTGTGGGCACAGTAGATGTGGAAGCACGGTCTCCTCGGTATTGGCAATAATCCACAGACAAATACTCAAGCATGGTGTAACAAACGACATGTTCGCACAGAAAAAGGCTTGTGTCCTTTTATGTCCGGTGCGAAGAAAATGGTCACGCACGTGTTGTTTCCGAGGAAGGGGCTGGTTTTAGCACATGAGTTCATTTTGAATCATTGCATAATTGCTTGAACTTATTTCAGAAAGCACATTAATCTCTAAACTTGGGAACAGATTTCATCGGCAGATTTGCATCTTTATGAAAAATAAACAAATACGTTATGAGCATTTGTGACAAGAGATATCTTGTGCTTATCAGACTAATCCTATCAACAGTGTATTTCATATGGCAATATTTAATGGGTTATAAAAGATCTGTCTTTTTCATTTGTTCTTTTAGCTTTTTCTTGATTAATCGGATATTACCATTGTATAGGTGAATTGTGAATGAAGTCGTTTGGATTGATGTATTCTGAATGAATGGAAAACTGTATGTTGGAACATTTTATTGCTTTCTCGCTCGCTCGTGCTTGTAACACTTTATGGGGCAGTTGACAATTTTGAAATTAAGCATGTGGTATGCTGTTCAGAACATTAAAAAATAATTGAAAAAATAATAAAATGAAAAACAAATGAAAACATATAAAATAAAGCATGTGATATGTTGTGCTAGTATAAGAGAGGAGCTGTAATCGACAGCCCATCCGGAGAGAAGTAGACATAATTTACAAGCTACAACACAACAAATCATGAGATGTTTGGCAGCTAAAGCTTCGATGGAGTTGGTGCTAAAACAGAGGAAACTGCTAATATCTAAAGATGATCAGGAGGCATCAAATGCTCGGGCTGGCCCGGTGGCCACATACATTGCCGCTAGGAACAAAGGTCTGACCACTGGACGAGATGCTCCCTAGGCTAGGAACGACAGCTGAAAGAAACTTACAGGATAATCAATGAACCTAGACTAAGAATATTCTTCATTTAAATAAAAGACTAAATCAATTCATTCTCATTTCTTAATAACCATTTTGCCAGCACAGTTACACAAGATCTTATAACAAAACTAATCAACATGAAAAAAAAGACTACCGTCTAAAGAATATAAACTGATTGATTGCTAACATACTAACATAAACAAGTCATAAGTGCATAAACCAATATAATGGCACAACACATTCTTCAGATATACCAAAAATAAGACATAAAATTAAAAAGGCAAAAGTTGGGAAAAACTGAACAAGAAATAAACCAGAAATAAAACAAGACCTCATACATCCTTTATTCCAAGGCCTAGTAATCAAACAACCACCACCTTAGAGGCCTGTCGAAATATTATTATCCAAGACCGACAAGTCGGGGCATTTGCGCCTATCATGGCCAGTTCGATGACAGAAACTACATGTTCGGGAACTCTGCAACATAGATTTTTCTTTTCCTGATTTTAGACGCTTGCCACAACCTTTTGTACGTACAGGCTCAGGGTCGCTTACTCGAACAACCTCATCCCGACTTTCTATTCTGCTCGAAGGTTTAATTATGCATTCTTCTACAATAATTCCACCTATCTCAATCTTCAAAACTTTGAATTTTTCCATAAGCACTTTGCTCCTGGCCTCTGTCAATGATGCTTCATCTATGAGCTCCCGTGCTAATTGCATCAATGTCCCGCGTCTACCTAGGATAGACTGGCCTGCTATAAGATTATGTGACGTTGCATAAATAAGGTTGTTCTTTGCATTCTTTGTCCATCGTTCTTTAATGTACTTTTTCGGTACGAGCATCACTTGTTCGACCCTCATCCAACATAGCATGTGTCGGCAAAGATATCCTTCAAACTCAAAGTGTTTACAACTACAAGTTATAAGATCCTCAGACACATGACATATTAAATGACGCCGACGTTGATTTCTCTCTTCCATATCAAACCGCCAAACCTCATAAATGCGGCTTTCGCTTGTGCTCGTCATCATTTTGCATATGTAGCTGGAACTCTTCTCAAATTCAGCCTGAAACAATAAAAATATGGTTTTCGTGTAGATCTCAGCCATTTGCTTTTCAACTGCAAATGTGATCCTCGGTTTCTCATGAAAATTGACATGGCCAGCCATCAACTCTTCATGTCGTTGGTGTGCAATAGCCCTGCTAAAACGTGTGAAAAAGTCATTCAATGAGCATTTCTTGTCTAGGTACCTCTTGAAGAACGCATGATTGCTCTCAACACGCTGGCTACTTGACATACCAGCAGAGAAGGCATGTTTTATATAAGCCGGAACCCAACGATGTCGAACTTCATACATTTTGGATAACCAATCATTAGCACTCAACTGAGAATCATTCATCAATGAATTCCACCTGCACTCAAACCCGGTCGGACTCTCCGAATCATTAATAATTTCTGATAAACTATGGTGATGCAACTTATGAACAATGGGACCGAGTTTCTCTAAGAACTTGTTTAGTATATGCCAAATACAATACCTATGAGTAGTATTTAGAAATACCTCACTCACAGCAAGAGATATAGCAGCGTCTTGATCAGTTGTAATGATCATTGGATGAGGTTGGTTGGGCATTGCTTCTAGGAATTTAGTGAATAACCACACAAAAGACTCATTCTTCTCTTCACTAAACAACCCGACCCCAAATACAGTTGTCTGTCTATAATGATTAACACCAACAAAGGGTGCAAACACCATTCCGTACTTGTTTGTGTTATACGTAGTATCAAAGACAACTGCATCACCAAACAATGCATACGAGTTTCTTGAGTCGCTATCAGCCCAAAAGCACCTCATGAAAATTCCCTCACCATTTGTCTCATAAGCGTAAAAAAAAATCTCGTTCCTTTCCTTTTCCATTTCAATTGTTGAATCAATGTGCGCGCATCATGTTTATTTAATTCAGCCTTATTCGCAGCTTCTTCATTCCTGATATCCTTCTCCAAACATCCCATCATGGACGGACCCCCAGCATCAATCTCAAACAACCTAACTTGTTGGTAGGTCGGAATGTTTGCCTCTCTATACTCTTGCATTAGTGCTCTTTTCGTAGCCGACGCACCACGATGAGATCTAAGCAAATGAACCTTCCTAGGGGTAACCAGTGGATGATTATGTTGTTCTATGAAATACTTCACAACCCAAACCTCTTTGACTCTGCAAACACTCATCCGAGCTAGACAACCACATCTCGTCTCTCCCCTTTACCTTTCTCCTGTTCGAACCTCAGCATATTTGCGTTTATTTTTGTAGAATTCATTTGTTTTTCCTTCCTTCGAGCAAGTGAACATCTTCCACACAAATGCATTGGTTTGTTTATTTTTTTTGCAATTTTGAGTACGAGTGCTAAAGTCTGTTTCTTTGGCATACGTATTGTAGAAATCACGAGCCTCTTCCCACGTCTGAAATTCCAAACCTTCATGGGGCACCTTGGCCTGATCGACTTGAGTAGTAAACTCTTGGTCGTTTTGTTCGACCTACATTCCTATAGAAAATAACAATAATCCATTTATTCTAGCGATGGTTTTCAATCCATTCATTTAACATGTTTATTTTACAAAAACTCTTACATTAGCAAAAAAAACCCTTAGAAATAATATAAATCTTACCAATAGATCGCGAGTGAGTTCTTCGTTCGCCTATGTTCACTCTTTCACCGTTGTGTATAATTGAGAAGATTTCTTGAATAAGTAGTGATTAACTGAGAAAAGATCTTTTGAAGAAGAAGACGGATGGAAGATAAAAAGATACGGCGGTCAGAAAAGAACGGAGAGAAAATATTTCTCTTTAAATTATTATTAACAAAGGAGAGAGAAAATAATTATCAATTAATGTAACTTAATTCCACTTAGATGCCATGTAGGCAACTGGTTTGTGTTAAGAAATCAGTGGTTGGTTTTTTAGAAAATTCGATAGTTGTGTTACGTTATATTAAGATCGTGCATCCTAAATTGAATTTGCTATAACTTGCATTAATGGTCGTCGGTTGTGCATGATGATTTGGTACTAGAAAGTTAGAGGCTTTTGTAATTTCTTATTGCTTGTGAATATAAGGGGATGCTTGGATATAATTTTTTTTTATTTGATTGAATTTTTTGTTTGGCTTGGTTAATTTTGAAAAATGTGGTATGGTTAGTTGTTAGTGGGTATACAATAATTAAAGTTGATTTCATGTAAAAGTAGGAGAGAGATGATTTTAAATAATGATTAGTTATTACTATGTGAGTGGGTGAATAGTGAATTAAAATTGATGTGATGTGTAAGAATGATTGGTTGATATTATTTAATTATATTGATAATATTGATGATAGTGGGTTGAGTTAAACTTCAGTTAAAAAAAAAAGGTTGAGTTAAAAATATTTGAATTTTTTGAGTAGATTTAGCATCCTCTAGAGCACGTTTGTTTAAGAAGACCGGATTAGATAATTTTTATCTAGATGTCCAAGATTGGGGTGTAGAGATATTTTTATATTTATGTTTGTTGTATTTGATTTACTCAAGATAAGATTATCTTTATAATATGTTTTTTGTGTTTGTTTCCATGGATACAGAATATGATTGATGAACATTTACAAGTTTACCCCTAATACTAAAATACATTATTTATTTTTCCCTTCACGTCAACCTCATTACTTGCCTTCCACCATTCACACTCTACACAAATTATTGTGCCAAAATTATCTACCCAAACACGTCCAGCGTCCTTGGCGATTTGTGCCCTCAACATAATTTAGCTTCAGTTTGAGATGAGAATTAACAATAAAATATCAAAACCTCATTCAATACACAATTAAAATTTTGATGCTCCATGAAGGCAATATCAAATTTGAAGCTGCAGCTCTTCACAACCAAATTTGAAGAACAAATCCAAGTTGTAATTGACCATATGCAAGCAGAAAGACAGAATGGGTTTTGGAGTTTCTTAGACAAAGCAAACCAGAAGAATAAATCCGTTGCGGGTCGGCATTTTTGGATTTCTAAAATAGAATAAAAACCTAGTTACTGACAAAAAATCTCTGATTATTTGTGGAACAAAAAATTAAGAGAAAATTTGTGGTTTGTTACTCACAATCTCAAAGCAAATGGAAGAATTATTTCAATTTTTCTTTTCCCTTTCTTTTTGCGGTCGCCGCCTCCTGGAGTTGCAGAGAGGAGGAATGTCCAATTTT